CAAAATATTAATAAATACTATAATAATATATGAATAATACTAAAATATCACAGTTTTGTGGTAATCAATATAGACTTCATAGAGTTTTACTTGTACTGCACCAGAAACATTGGTGTAACTTTCAAGAACAAACTTCAGGGTATGATATGATTAGACCACAACTGCCACAGTAAAGAGTGATTCTTTTAGCGCTTGAGTATAAACCAATGAAGATGTTCAGAGGAAACCCAGGGAAAACAGCAAAAACAAGCCTCTGGGGTAAAAATCTGGAAAGCATCTCAGTGTAACAGCCTTGTCTCAGACTACGCTTTTGAATGCTGTGGGGAAAGCACAAATTCTCCTGTAATGTCTATCCATGTCACTACAGAACCTCTGGGACTGTTACTTTTGTCATATAAAGTGACGGCAAGACATTTGAAAAACATCCACTCCATTGATTTCCTTCTTCTTGGTTTCATTAACACACGCACAAACTAAAATCTTGATGTGTTTCATGTCCATATCTGGCACGTCAGTCTAGCTAATGAGGTACCACAATTTAACGTTCAAAACACACACATGCGCACACACTGCCTGCCCACCTGACACTCTGCAAGAGCGAGCCTCATTGCCATGGCAGCCGGCTATTTATACACTACACCACACAATCAGGCCTTGTCACAGTCAACAGGGGTGTAAGAAAAGCCGTGGATATGTCAGTCAATCAGGAGATGTTTTCCTGTGACTCACTGCCTAATGGCAAGAGTTAACAGGTTGGACTAATCATGGCTGGATGAGGCAGTTGTGCAATTCTGTCACTATATTACCTCTATCAATCTATCACACACATCACATACAGTTACACCTGCGCTTGAACAGTCTAAATGTCAACATTTGAGCATCATTTACTCCTTTCTGTTTTGTGAAATAGACAGGAGAAATACTGACACCTGACTCCACTGAGGGGGACAAGATTTGGGTAACGTGGCCCCGTTAGCCTATTTTTTGCAGACTATACATACTGTTCTGGAAAACTATAATACTTTATTTTTTTTTTATCTTTTGTAACATTATACATGTCTTTGCTGTGACTTTTGATTAATTTAATGCATCCTTGCTGAATAAATGAATAAAAATAAATAAATAAACAAACAAACAAACAAACAAACAAATACAAATATGAAGAAATACATCTTTAAATTAATTGAAATTGCATCACTGCTTATAATTTCAAATAAATCTTCTAAGGTGTATTAAGCTGTAACTAACATGTTTTAAAACTGTATACTTAGTGTCTGTGGCTGGATTGAAGATCCAGACACAAGAGAAAACAAAATCAGCATAAGTCAACAAGCAACTATTCCGTATTCAAACCTTTAAACACTTGAAAAAACTCTGCCTTGATATAAAAAAAGAGCTATTCAAGCTGCTGTGTTGAAGAATAATACATTTTAAAGTCAACCTGGGGTTGAGGAAATTAAAATGACCAAAATTCCTAAAGCCTTTGGTGTTGTCAGCCACACTTACAGGAGAATCTGCACTGAACACTCCAGGGGCCTGTTATTGAAATTAACCAAACACAACATGAAAGCTGCTTCATCTGACATATTGACAGTGTAAGGTCCTTTTCAATATGTATGTGTGTGACTGACTATAAATGTCAGAGTAACAGAATTGAACAGAATTTAATTATAAAATTATAGTAGCATCTGGTAAACATAGTAATACGCCGTCAACAATATATATTGTGCAGTTAAGTTCACAAGAAATATTTTTTGTCCTGATTTGTGTTATTATATTCTTATATTATATTATATTCTGTGTTAGATAAGGTTAACAACTGATGTACTGTAAGTTGTGACAAATTGTTAAATTAGCCTATGTCAAGACCTCAACATTTGCAAAATCCTTCTCAAATCTTATGCACAAAATAAGCATGAGCATTTCAGCACCACGGAGAGCAACATTGGCATACATTTACTTCTTAACACTAGCGGTCAAAAGATTTAAATAATTACGTTTTTTTAATTTTTATTATGCTCACCAAGGCTGCATTTATTTGCTAAAAATACAGCAAATTCATTAATAGTGTGAAATATTATTAAAATTTTTAAGAACTGCTTTTTTAAATACATTTTAAAATGTAATTTATTCCTGTGATGCAAAGCAGCCATTACTCCAGTCTTTGGTATAACAGGATCCTTCAGAAATCATTCTAATATGCTGATTTGGTGCATAAGAACATTTATTATTATTATCAGTGTTGAAAACTGTTATTACATTTTTGTAGAAAATGAAACATAAAAAAGTTTGGGTGAAGATTAAAAAAAAAAACAGACAAGGTTGCATTAAATTGTGTGACATTAAATACATTTATAATGTCATGAAACAGCATTTTCAAATAAATGCTTTTCTTTGAACTTTCTAGTCATCAATGAATCCTGAAATTTTTTTAACAAAGTTTACACAAAAATATTAAGCAGCAAAAACTAATAATAATATTGATAATAATATCAATAATATTGACATTAATAACCATTATTAACAAATGAACACTAATAATTGATAAGCACCAATATTGATAACAATAAGAAAGTTTTACATTGATTATCAAGAAATGCTTATAGAGCATTAAATCAGCAAATTAGAAAGATTATTGAAGGATCACATGACACTGAAGACTGGAGTAAAGTCTAGTGAAAAGTTACAAAAATAAATTACATTTTTAAATATATTTAAATAGAAAACAGTTCTCTTTAAGTGTAATAATATTTCAAAATCTTGCTGTTTTTGATCAAATAAATGCAATCTTTGTAAGAATAAGAGACTTCTTACTAAACATAAAAAAATTAATAACTCCAAAATTTGACCAGTAGTGTATAATCTATTTCCCTTCTCACATTCAACTTTGATGCATATATGAATGCATACTAAGATACCTTTTTCCCTTTCTCACCATTTCTATAGTGCGCAAACACGCACTCAATCATATCACTTCAAAGATAATCTCAAGAGAGATGAACTATTCCATACAGCCTGCATAAGCAATCATGTATACACAGGCAGAGTGTGTGCGTCGACGTGCACGGATATGCCTCTGCCGGTAATGTTTCATATTGCTCTCTATTCCTGTCACTCCCTGGATGCTTAACTGTCTCACAGAATAATAATCACACTGACTGCTGTAATCCCTACTGTGCACAGAGGTTTCCCTGATATCCCCACTGTGCTGGGCTGCGTTGAGCTTTGCTGAGCTGAACCAACCCCCGCCACACACATACACACATCCTTGTCCTGCCTGGATCACTGCTATTAACAATACGGGCCAAGTAATCCTAATTTGTACCTCTAAAGAAAGCTAATCCATTGTACAGAAATAACTAATCTGTAAAGAGCAAACACCATTCTTAGGCGGGAAAATCCTGTTAGCGTCTGCTTGATTACCTTACCATTAGACTTCCCGTGCAAAAGCGCTCTAAGTTCAGTCACATGGCTAACCTCATCAACCGGGCTAATGTCTGCAGCCTTGTTGATTTCAGCTACAAATTGAGTTAATATTTCATGCTGACAGGGTTGGTTTTACTCCACGGGAGAACTAACGCTAAATGTGGCTATAGTGAATAATTCACATACCTGATAAGACTAAGCGTGGCTGTGTTTAATTATTAATGATCTTAATATTGCAAAATGCACTGATCAATGCATCTCTACAGTGAATGGGAGAAGTGAGTGAAAGGAAAGATGTGGGCTGAGTGGCACTGCATTACAGACGGCTCCAATCAGAGCAGCGCACATCTCACATGACAACAAGATTTTCTGTGACTGCGTGGGTTATGTGACTTCACTGCTCTGAGATCCAACGGACGTGTTTGGGGGTAATCTAGGATTAGAGCACCTTGTTCAAACTCTCACCTTTAAAGGTAAGACCACAAGTGACAGACAACAAACCTCTCACACACATATCCTCTAATTTGACACAATGGCAGAGCGAATCAAAGCCAGTGTATCTGAGATCAGATTAAGCCTTCATAAATAATACAATATGAGAACAACCATGTCAAAAACTGAAAATAAAGTGCAAATATGTCAGTTTTGAACCACACTGTGACTGACACACAGTATCATGCTACCCAGATGAGGTCAGATACTGAACAATTTCATCATGTCAGTGTCCATCAACTTTAGAACTGTATAAACACAGGTCCAGGTGACTGATGATCACTTCTTGTGTCACAGTCTTTAGCATATGTGCCCATCCCCTTGTGGGACTCTAAGCTGACAGCATCCTCCCCTCAGTGCCCAGGTGAGAAGGCTAACCCATCTGTATATTCATGACTGTGAAATGGACACAGTCACCATGGAGACAACCTGGTCTCATATGATGACGTGGATATGGACTATTCAGGACTTTTGATGCAATGTTTCTGGCAGGTATAATCAAATCAGCACGAGTTCTACAGTCAAAATGAAGTCAAATATAGATCAACAAATCTAACACGGTCAGCATAGACTTCATATTGTGTCAACTAATGCTCCAAATCAAACTTTTATCTATGTTGTACATGAAACAACTGTGCTCACTATCTATCATTGAACCGTTAACTCTTTAATACAGCCAGTAGTAGCAAACTTTGACTGGAAAAAAATAAACTGATACAGTTTCTAGTTCCAAAACAAGTAGGATATCTTTCAAGCTTTTTTTCAAAGTGATCATCTGGCATTGGAAGTGATTTGCTGGTGCTGATCTGCACTACGAAAGCATTAACATGATGAGAAAATACCACATCCTCCACAATGTAGTACTGATAGGATTTTAATATTAAAAACACTTCCCTTACTAGACCTTGGCACTAAAACAGATTGAGCAAAGCTCACAGGCAGATGAAACGAAGCTATGAGATTTCAGAACCATGGACAGCGACATTAAAAGCTCCTCCTGGTACATAGAATGACAGGACATGTCCAAAGGTCTGCTACATATCAATGGCCCAATAAATAATTAAAGATATAAACAGACATACCATGTTGACCTCAGACACCATGTCTATGCTTGCCACATCGATGCTCATGCCAACCGCGACCGGTGCACCTTAAATGAGAAGAAAACCTTAATCCTCAAGTTCACTGAAAGCATTTATTTATTTTATATCAATGTTAAAAACAATCTTGACATACTTATGCAACCTTAAAAGTAAGAAATAATGACGTGAGCAACATCATACCTCCAAAGTCTGGTCGAAGACGAATGTCATAGCCTTTCAAAAGCTTGTCCACTGTCTCTTTGACAAAAGACATGTTTCCTGGTTCATTGGCGCTGAAAAGAAATAATAAAGAAGGTTATTTCCATCATATTAGAGCCCAGGAGGTCTATGCTCTCGCGCCATGGTCTCCACCAGCTCTTCTTACCTTTGAGCACAGCACATCACTGCCACAATTACCGGTAATGAAAGAACACCAAACAGCCTTCGTTTCTGTATTCCAAACATTCCTTATACTCTTTCAGGCAAGGAATCGAGCGACAAAACGGACGTTGTAAGGTTTCCTTGCGTAGGTAACAGGTTACGTTATTCCATAAGTGGGTTTTTGCTAAAGAACTCCAATTACTGTCAAACGCGCGTAAACAAATCGCTGCGATCCGGGTTTTCGCTCTCTTGCGGAGACTGCGTTATTTGGTTAGGTGCTCGGTAAATACGATGCATTTTGCCCGAGACACTACCGGAGCTTGCAGCAGGGGAGTCGGTGTTTGGGGCACAGCCAGATCTTCTCCATCCTTCGGTTTTGACGCCCGTATAGCTGTGCTGTCCCGAATCTACACCCTCTGCTGAAGTCTCAGTCTTACGCCTCTTTTTATGTTTCAGCTACAAGCAAAGGATGGTCTGTCGAGACAGTTGACTTATTTTTCACATATACCCAACAAAAAGCGCCTGTTATTAGATGTTCGCTCGGGAAAAACGTCAGAATTGGAAACTGAAACTGAAAGTTCGACTATTGATTCGACAACTGATGACCGAGACGACCGGAGTGTGATGAAATTGGTATGTGAGCACGAGGACTTCGCTATAAGAAAAGTGGTCACGTGACATCCCACAAGCTTCGGCGCGAACAGCATTTTGTTGGTGTGTAGCGCGGAGTTTATTGAAATAATTATTTACAAGTCAATTCAAACGAAAAACTTAACTAGATCGTTCAACACGTGTGGTTTCGTCAGGTTCATGATCTAGTAAAAAAAAAGCGTATACACTTGAGTAAAAGTTGAAGAGAACGACTGGGAGGGGTTTCCCCTCAGTTTAACTCTTCGTTCATGGAAAGCAATAAAACGGTAAGTATTTTAGGCGATTTATTCATAAACAGCTCCTGTATTTTGCCATTGTTGCTGGTGGGTGTACATTTGAAATCTTTGTCAGGAGAAAGCAACCCAAAACAAATCTGCAATGATGACTGAGTCATGACTTCTTGTGTTGCAAACTCATCATTTGCTGTTCAGGTAGACATCATTAGTGGTTTCTTACCGTGACTTGAACGCGGGAAGTGAGAACCACAGGTTTGGGTAGGGGCCATAAAAGTATTGATTCGTTTCCTCAGTATTTTTCAACAAAATTTCAATGATGTTTGGCTACAACGAGATTGTGCAAGAAACAAAAGAAAATTTGCAAGTAGGTAACCACTGGTAACACTTTCTTATAGATGTACACGTCACAAATATAGCACAAAAATTTAGTTTTGGTTTAATATGCATTTAGGGTGTGTGATCAATCAATCAATCAATAAATGTTAAGTTGCTACTCAGCTCATTCCTTCCATTTGAGTGTTATGGACACTAGTAATCTCTCCTTCTCTCTCAGAGAAGATCATTTTTAACTGCAATATCTATGGTGGTATCAAATGGCAGTGCTTTCTATTTTATTAGAACATTACATTTATTAGGAGGGCATCTCCTGTACTGTACCTCTGCATGCGCACACACGCATACTAATAGTGATAAACAGAACATCATGTGACAGAGTGGAAGAAGAATAATTTTGCTTTATTGACACCTTCTGTGATACAATCAATCTGATATATTACTTGTTCTCACTACCACTCCCCATCAGTGGATATTAAGGCTCCTCCATTTAGCCTCTAGACAATTTTATTATACATAATCAGATTTTCAGTGAGGCTTGACAGTCTGTTGGATATTAGGCACAAGTGTAATGGCTTCTACCAAGCTTTAAAAACTCATTAAACTAATCCTGTTAATTTGACCTGTGTTCAAAAAACAGGTCCGCATTGTTCTGACTGAATGGAAAGGCTGTTTACGAGAGCTGTTGGTGGATTTGACACGGTCTGTGGTTGAAGTTTGGCCTTTTTAAATCCCTCAGGCTGCATTAAGACTGTAGTGTGCGGACTGATGCCGCCCTAATGCTTTTAGAAGCAGACGCTGGATGCAGAGGGATGTGGCTGTGCTTCCTGGTACTGTTTCAGAAGCTTTATTCCAGAGAGGCGAGGGTTGAGACTCCACTAAGATGTTATTGGATTCTTGTTCTTCTTGTGTCCTCAGGTATATTCTGTTAGTATAGCAATATTTAGCTTTGATTCGCTGCCTGAAAAAGTGTTAGGACTACATTAGTCTATAATGATAGATATATTCAAACCCTCCTAATTTTTTATTGATAGCAAATCTTGTTTAATCTATTTTAGGACAGTTGGTCCTGTCTGTGCCAGGATTACCATTCATTGAATGCCTTTTAAATTCCATTTCAGTTTTTGAGTTTGAACTGAATTTGAATTGAGGTACCGAACACAACGCAGAATTGCAATTTAAATTGGAAGGGAAATAGAATTAAGTCACGCCACCATTATTTATATAGTGCTTTAAGCAATAGAGATTGTTTCAATAACAGAGAAGTTACAGTAAATGAAAATAAAATTAACTGACATTTAAATTCATATAACATTAATGTTAAATAGCATATCAAAGTTTATCAAAAATTTGTAGTGTTGGCTTGGCAAAACATTGTTTAAAAAAACATTTAGATAGATAGATGTTTTGAAATGAGACCAATAGAAATTTTATATTTCATTTATGTATTTAATCTTATTTATTAAATTAACTTTTTTATTTATTTATTTGTTTGTTTTTTTGGACCGGGTGAATATACACTACATTTCCCAGAATGCATTACCTGTGTTGAATTGCAATTCTGTACATTTATTTTGCCATCATTCCATTTCAAATTTCAGTTTTAATTTCTTTAGGGCATGGCCAATACAGTTCAAACTCATGAACTTGCAAGATATTAATTATTCACTTTTGAATCTTGTAACAACCCCTTTCTGTACAGAACTAAAAGTCATAGAATCATGTCAGGTGTACCTTTTTCACCTTTTAACCTCAATGTTGGGATTAATAGAGTATAAAGTATTTAATATTGTTGCAAAAAAACGTTTCCGGGAATTTCTTTGTAGCCATACATATAGGAAATGATTTCTAAGCTTCTTGCAGCATAACCGTTTATGAAGAGCAGCTACTATAAGGAGAGAGATGGAAATCGAGGGTAGCTCTGAACAGCACTTACCCACACACACCCACATCCCATCATCCAAACAAAGCACTCCACTCACACATCATCTGCAAATGCAAAGGCTCCTCAGTGTGTGGGTTGAGCAAATGGCACCAAGTCACGGTCACACACCAAGCCAAATGCTGTTAAAGCCTTTAAAGTAACACTAGTCAAACAGGGTGTGGGAGGACTGGAACCTTTTCTATGATCCCTGTCTTTGCCTTTAAAATGACCGGTGTCCTCTGACCCCTCTAATTGTAAGGTATAAGGCCGTCAGCGTTTGGAAGGTTACTTTGGAAATGTAATAGGTTACAGATTATAAGTTACCCTATCTCAAATGTAATAAGTAGTGTAACTATTTCAATTACTTTATTAAAGTAATGTAACCGATTACATTTGATTACTTTTCTAAATTTCTAATGTTTTCAACTGTTAATCCTTTTTAAACATGTAAACCAGGCAGCGCTATCCTTACAGTAGAACTCAACACTGATCATTTTCAAAATCCTTTCTCCCTTGAATTAAGATTATAATGATTTAATTTTAAAGCACAGCCAGCACAAAATCAGACTTACTTTGAGATCATTCTGAGGTTAAATACAGATTTAAAACCATAACAAGTAATAGTTTAATAGCTATGACACTGTTTTTGAAATCTATATTTTGCATATCTATGACAGGAAACATTGGCATCTAACAATGGCTGAGAAAAAAAAAACAGTTAAACTTAAAAAATAAAGCATATACATAAACCCAAATAGGAAATAAAAAGTTATCAAATAGGAATGTGTCCTATTCTGTGTCCTATAAACTCCTGAAACATTGGTCTCTCATATATTAGTGATGTCCCTGCAATTTCTGAAAGAAATCAATTAAATCTGTATGTGGGTGTTTAAAAAAATTCAAATGAAACCCCCTTTGTAATCGTTAACATTTTCAAAAGTAACTGTAATTTAATGACACATTTTTTTCTCAGTAACTGTAACTGATTACAATTACATTTATTTTGTAATTAATTTACTTAATTTAGTTACATGTAACTAGTTACTCCCCAACACTGAAGGCCGTGTCCGAAAGTTCACAAGGCACTTTTCTTTATTTTGCCCACTGGGCTATCAAAGTGGTTTTCTGATCTACTGTAGTATCACAAAAAGGGGAAATGAAAACATGGTTGCACTGGCTTCCATTGATAGGGCTTTTCCTTCCATTTGTGTCAAATTGCAGATGCAGAAGACCTCTCTCCTCTGCACGCCCCCACCACTCCTCCAGATTAAATGGACACAGATAAATAGATCCTCTGGATGGAGTGAATATTGCACTGTGCTGAATGAATAATGTATGTACGTGGCTGACATTGCGGGTCTGATTTGTTTTAGATTGAGACAGAACACTGCAAATTCACTCATAATACCTACTGAAGGATTCAGACTCCTGTGATACTATGAAGAGATGCATAGATGCCTCCTGAGACATTAAAGGAATAGTTCACCTAAAAATTAAAATTAGCTGAAAGTTTACTCCCCCCCCCCACAGGCCATTTAAGATGTAGATGGGTTTGTTACTTCATCCCAACAGATATGGAGAAATGTAGCAATTATCTCACTTGCTCACCAGAGATCCTCTGTGATGAATGGGTGCCGTCAGAATGAGAATTCATACAGCTAATAAAAACATCACAATATCCATAATAACGTTTCCTTTAGTCCATCCCCTGTAATTCTCTCACATCAAAATTCACCATCATATTTATTTGGAACTGTTTAGGACTGTTTTTCGCTTGTTAGCTGTGTTAGGTCTGTGCATATTTCTCCCCTGATACAGATTAGACACCTTTTTCCACTGGAGAAATCAATAATATGGATAGAGGAATCATATTTTAGCTGGAAACAATGGTTTGAAGTTAAAAACATCTTAATGATAGATTTGTTTATTACAAACATGCAGATTTTCACTTTACATGTTAATTGATGGATTGGAGTTACATTAGGTTGTTGTTTTTATCAGCTGTTTGGATTCTGATTCTGGCGGCACCCATTCACTGCAAAAGATCCATTGGTGGGCAGTAATGCTAATTTCTCTGAACCCATTCATATGAAGAAACTCACCTACATCTTGGATGGCCTGAGGGTGGGTAAATTCTCAGCTAATTATATTTTTTGGGTAAAAAATCCCAGCGTGCATCAAACAATAGTGAGTGTAAAATGCTATGAAATTTACTTTATTTATCATACACAATGAGTAACTTACCTTGTGTCATAGATTGCAAACAGCTTTTAATTCCCATCCACTGCATTCCTGCAAAACAGAGGGAGGTGATGTTACTATTCCCATCATTCAATGCCCTGTTACTAATTTTAGAATGAACACATTCTGTAAACAATTGTGATGTTTCTGAATCCCAAAAGCATTTTCAAATGTCTTTTAACATGTCTTGAGTTCCAATTGTGTTGTTCTGTTAATCTTTGTTATTAAAGATCTGTTTATCATGAGCACATACAGTACACACACACACACACACACACACAACTAGATCAGGATTATCAGATGCTTGCAGGACACAGGTGGACTGTAGAAGTAACAGCTGCTCTCGTGTGAAAATCTCTGGAGTCCATATCAATGAAGTCAATCAGCAGTCAGACAAAAGCACTTAAAAATTAACCAATCCCCAAAAACACAACTACAATATCATATTATACCTACACAACAAAACTGTCTGTACAATCTTCATGAATCTAGAATAAATCTCGTCCTAACGGATACGAAATCAATAGGCCCAAATCAGCAATAGGGTGTCATTTATAAAAGAAACTAGTTCAATAAGTTATTTTCACTTATGCACAACATGAAACTGGAGCAGGTAGAGCTTTTTAAGGTTTTCATTTATCGACTGAAGCACTGCAGTAATAGTCAGCATCAGAAAAAAAATGGGATTAGAGTTCCCTCTGATGGCTGTCCTCATTACTACTTGTGCCTTTTATAAAACAATGATCAACTCTGCTCTCGCAAACCAGTTTTGAATCTAGTCCTATCAAATCAATATTATTTATCTTTGACTGATACCTTGATGACTTATAGCTAAGCTTCACACATGCTTTAATTTATCCTCAGGACGATTCTCTAATTTACAACCCGTTTTAATAGAGTAGGCTAAAACTGATACTTTTAAACCATAAATATCCCCAGTGGAGATATAATAGTCCGCGTGTAGAGGAAGCCAGCCTGGCGCAGGGGGGCTGCCTAGGGGTAAACGCTCGCGCACAAAATGCCTAGTAAGCTGAATTGTTGGGAAATCCGCTCATTTTCTAGCTTCCGCGCTCGTAACGCACGCCGGCGCCGGGGTAATCGCGCTTTTCTCTTAATAAACTCAAACAAGATAAGTTTCAAACCCCAACGGCCGCTCAAATTTCCCTCGGGGGGTAATTATGCAGCGCGCGCAGAGGTGACGTCCTATTACTTTTGTCCCAAACACGAACAAATGCCACTAGAGTGACAGTCGGGCTATAGAGTGGGGCGATCCAATCCGGCGACCCGGTAAACGGAGAACCCTGTTAAACTCTGTAACGCTTGAACGGTTGCGCAGATGCGCGTTGAGATGTCGTACACTAGGCTACCTCAGAGGGAAGAAGGGGGAAAAAGTAATGGTCTGTTAAAGGGGATGTGTTGACTGGAGGGGGAATAGGGGGAGAGAGAAAACAAAGACTGTTTTAAGGGCTGTTGTGCTGTCTGGTAACTGTCGTTCAATTGGATTTAGGAGTGATGAAGAGGTCTTTGGGATGCGGAAGAAAGGAAGGAATGCTCTGCAGCGGTTCTTCAGTCACTGAATCGTAAGAGAGTACGGCACAATTAGCCTGTATGGTTAAGACTGGATATATCTGAAGAACAACGCATCACACTACTGCTGTAAACTGAACGTTGCGGGATTTTGCTCACTGCTTCAAAAGGAATTCATTGCAGTTATTCAACGTGGATCCACTGCACCATTCAGGAATTTAAGGTGAGATACGAGGCTTTTACTGTACACTATCTCTGCTCAACTCTGCTTTGAAGGACTCGCTATAAATGTTCGACAAGTTTATACGCCAGAGGCTGTTAAAACTATGAATTACAGCTGCTGCAAACTCAGCACTCCTACAGCTTTTACAAACGATCACGTTGAAGGAAATGTTGTAAACTGGCATTCAGGGGACATGCACAAAACAGAGAACGGATTCTTGATAATGGAATTGCGTAAAAATAAATAATTACTTTAATTTGCAAATAATTAAATAACATAATTAAATTAAAATAAAATAAAGACAGCATTGTAATTGCATCAATAATAATAATAATGAAAAAGTATTTGGTTAACACTTTTGCTTAATTGCTTTGATGATTTTTTTGTTTTGTTTTTGTTTTTTTGTTTACTGATCATCCTATTTTATGCTTTTTGTAAGCACCACAAAACTTTGTCTTTCCCTGTTCATTTTTTTTTAAATTAAAGTGTGCATAATTCAGTTTCCCTGAAGAATGGTCAGATTATCATAGTGCTGGAATGAACTCCCTATCCTGGACTTTTGCAGGTATGGGATATGGACCACATTGCAGCGCTAAAATGAGAAGTCTGTGGGTCGGTGTTTTGTTCATGACTTTCACCTGCCATCTGAGGTAGATTGCACGTTTAACGTGTAACTTTCTTTTTCTTTTTTTCTTTTTTTTTTAGTTCATTGCAGGAGCCAATTAATGTTAAATATCATATGTCTATAATTAATTCATATTGATTCAAATTTCCAGACCACTATATCATTGTGGTCATGTTTGAAAGGAGGATGAGAGTTAATACTTGTAGTTATTAATTATCTTTGTGGTCTTGTGTATCAGCCTTTCTCAGACTACTACAGGGATTCCTAAAGAGTCAGAGCTCAATGATAACATCACAGTATTCACACGAATCCTGGATGGATTGCTGGATGGCTACGATAACAGACTGCGACCTGGGCTTGGAGGTAAACTGCCTAGATACCATTTCCATCTCTAAATGATCTGATCTGTAGCAAAATCGTGCTTTAATGAAAAGTGTTTTTTCTTTGTATATTAATGGCATTTATGTCTGGCATTGACCTCCGGGAGTTATTCTGAAAAGATGTGTTTAGATAAAGGAGGATGGTTTTTGAAAAACAGAGAGAACGCCTGCACATTCCATCGTGACAGCAGCATGAAGGACTTTCATTAAAAAAGAGAAAGATGCTGCTTCTATTCAATCCACTAACTGGAAGGAAAAGTACATAGAAAAGGAAAAAAATCTGTGTTTTTATACAGCAGATGTTTGCACCGAGCAGAAGTGATCGCTGAAATTGCCTGGTCCTCTGTGAAAATCAAACGGCCACTATTTCCTGGCACTCTCAATTACAGTGTTCTTGCTAGAGACAGAGGTAGAGAGAGAGAGGGTGAGAGAGGGATATGAATGTGGCTGCTGACCTTGAGAAAGCTATCGTTCTTTTTCAAAGGTGCAGGTTCACTGTTCTCAGAGGTCGAAAGCATGGCAGAGAAAGAGAATAAACACAGGCTGCTCTGTTTCCACGTGAGAGAGTTCAAGGGAGCACATCTCATAACTGTAGCAGCAGCAACGTGATGTCAATTGACAAATGATGGCATTGAACTTGATTTAGTGCCTTGAGAAGGAAAGTGCAATCAGGCGGATGAAATTAATTACTTTTCATTTTAAAAATGAATGCAACTAAATAATATGGCTGAATCAAAGCATACTTCAGTGGAAATTCTGTATATTTATATATTATATTTACACAATATATATTTACTTTATATATATATAT